AAAGCACTATCTGCCACTGTAATTTTTATCTCTAATGGGGCCTAGGAGGGTTGTTAAACTTTTCATTTTCTTTAAAATACCAAACTGTCCAGTTTTGTTTTGTTTTTGTTTTGTTTAAAAAAAGCCAAACATTTCATTCTGATCCCCATTTGTGACATTACAGTACTAATTTTTTTGCCAAGCACCCTGCAGGTCTTCACGTTAACATGTATAACTTAACATGTATAATGAAATAAAATAATGTGCTGGTTTTAACTCCAGGGATATGGCAACACAAAAGTTGTAAATGTAGCTTTATAGTTGGCTTAACCATAGTGATTAAGAGTAATTAAGTCTGGAATGGCATTGATACAAAATTCCTAAATTTTTCATCCTAAGAAAGGCAATTCCTATTAACCCAATCCAGGCACAGAATTTAGAGATTATGAATTTCATAATCTAACTAACTAAAGTTAGTTAAACGGACATACCTTCATCAGGTTATTTGTCTTAAGCTGCCATGAGAGACTGTTGACCATAGAGAGTTTTGGCCCAGACAGAACCTACATCGGACATCTTTGGAGAAAGTATTAAGATACCATTCACTAATCTGTCAGCCTTCAGATAGTTAGGATTTTCTCCCTTTGAGGTCATGCTGGCTGGGGATTGATTGACTGACTGATTATGTATCATCAACTCTTAGCAACGACATAGAGAGGCCTTCTCCTGGATGATCTGTCCTCAAACCTTGCCTTTCAGGTCTTTCCTTTCTTTGGAAGGAAGTCCATCCACCTCTAACTTCGGCGATGCTTTTGAAAAACAACAAGCATTGGAAAAATTAGGTCTTTGAATTTTGAAAACTCCTGAATAAACTTTGTGGTTATGGAATAAAAGATCAAGTCTTTGTATAGACCAGGGGTAGGCAACCTTGGCTCTTTTATGATTCGTGGACTTCAACTCCCAGAATTCCTGAGCCAGCATGGCTGGCTCAGGAATTCTGGGAGTTGAAGTCCACGAGTCATAAAAGAGCCAAGGCTGCCTACCCCTGGTATAGACCAATAACTAGCTTGAGCCTAAGAACAGACAGTTCACACAGTGCAGTTTTCACTGCAATCTTTCCCAAGAGCAAAGAGGCAGCACAGCCTGGAATCTTTGGTATGTAGGAAGAGACCCAGGGTGGACCCTCCCTAATCTTTCACAGGGTATATATAATAGTTATGCAGATTTGTGCTTTAGTCTAGCAAGTTTCCTGTCTATAGGCAAGCAACAATAAAGAAACTGCTCTAGAGTAACTCCTGATGTCATTCTTGCTTTCTTGCACTTGACACACTGTGAAGTGTTTGAAAAAGTTTCCTCTAAAATGGATTAAATGGGAATTTAGTGGAGAACATTCATTTCAATGGCTATTAGTCACGATAGCTATATGATATCTTGGGTCTGAGTACAATACACTGTGTGTTTCCTTCTTGGTAGGAAACAAGACATTATTCCCCCCATGAAAGGCTGCTGACCTGATAGCCTATTAATGGGATTCTTGAAGTCACTGGGACAGGTAACAACTGAGTACGTTGAAAATCTTAGGGTGTTTTGAAATTTATGGCATCTTCAGTTGGGTAGCTTGGGCTTCACACACACACACACAAAAAAGAATATGCAGTCTATGGTTCCAATTTTACACCCAGCCCTTCAAAGCTTGCATGAAAAATCTCTCCGAAAGTTGCCTTTGAACCATCATATTTAATGCAACAGAAGATTATTAAACATAAGTAGCATGTTAGAACAGTTAATATTAGTAATTGTATTTAAGGTAAAATAAAATTATATTATATACTTATGTTTCATTTTGTCTAAGCTTCATCCATGCTGCACCCACGGCTTTCTAGAAAGCAATTCTCAGGACATCATGCTCAGGAATGAGCATGCCCATTGCAAGAAAGAAACGTGTCATATCATATCATAAAAGCCACCTTAGTTGAGTGCCCTCAAGCATTCTCTGATTCCACCTGCAAGCCACTGAAGTCGACAAGCCAGCCACAGGCTGGGTAAGCCAGTTGTATGTGGCATCCAAGAAGTCATTAAGCAATGGATTGTTGTTGTTTCTTGAGTTGCTTTCAGAAGGACAAAACCAGAATGCATTCTAGTTCAGTAGTCTAACCAGTTCACAGAGTCAGCAGGTGTGAGCAAATGACAATTTATGCTAAACCAGCAGGGCATATGAATATAGTCAGAACTTTAAATGTTTGTCTCTTTTCCCTTGAGAACTTTATTAGATACTTCCTTCACCAATGCAAGCTAACTTCATTTAAACAAAAACAACTGCATGAAAGTTTGGATGCATTGCACCTGGAGGGAGGTACTGATTGCAAAAAACATATGTATGAAAGATTGGAGGAGAGATCCAGAGAAAAATAGGAGACTAGGAGTAAAATACAAGGAACCGTAGAAGAAAACAAGTGGTGATAGCATCAGTCCAAGTGTTGCTCATACAACTGTTCCTAAGTCACTGTAATATAAGGGTGAAGATGTTGGAATAGGACTGGAGTGAACTGGGTTTTACTCTGCCCTCAGGCATAGAAGTTCATTTTGGCGTAGTCATGTTCCTTCAGGGTTTTTATTGTGTGACAAAAAAGATATGCGTGTTTGCGTGTGTGCAAGTGTGAGGACAGCAACTGAATAGTGGTATTCCAGCTTCAGGGGTTTTTTTACACAAAGGAGGACATAAAACAGACACACTAATAATCCACAAAAGACTACCATGAGAATAAATCTGAAGATACCAATTTCTCCAGAGTAATTTCAAGAATAGAATTTTGAAGAAAGTCTTGAATCTTCCATCTGGCAAATGAAAAACATCTAAATATCTGTAAAGGGAAAGGGAAGCCTCCAAAAAGATCTTGAGTAATGCAAAATAATGCAGCCTTTTCAAACCTGGAACTCTTCAGCTGTATTAGACCTGCGTCTTCCAGAATTCTTGTCTGTTTTTGGAAGACACCAACTTTGAGAAACGTTGCTGAAATGGAAGAATGAAATAAACTCCAGGAGAGTGTTTCCCTTCCCATCATCTTTAGGAAGCAACCAATCCTAATTTTTGTCTACAAATCTTTTTAGACCATAACTTTAAGTTACTTGGTATTTCTGGGACAAATCAAAGACAGAGTGGAGGTTACAAAAAACTTAGGAACCTTGCAAATCCAAAATTTATCCTACTCAACCTTAAACTTGCTTCCAACTTAACATATTGTGATTTTCCAAAGCCTGTAGAATCCCATGTGAATTTTTTTGTTCTGTTCCTTTCTTAGACCTCCTACATGCCCATGGTTGGGTAGACTTGTCCTGCTCAGTCTTCTATCTATTGCTTATCTTTAAACCACCTTCTGTGTTTCACAGAAAGCAAAAAGTTCCATTTTTGATTGATGGTTTATGTCTGCAAATCAGAAAATTACCTGGTGGCTGAATCCAACTTTGAAACAATATAATTGCTGAATTACAAAGGCATTGTTTTGCTAACTGTGCCATTGCATAAAAGGATTGTATGGGAGAGGTTTGCATACACTGTGCAAAGACCCAGCTCTTGGGAGGGGGGCTCTTATGTTTGGAGAGATGGAAGGAAGGAGAACAGAGGGAGCCCTTCAAAAAGGTGGATGGGCTTGGTTGCGATGGCAATGAATGTACCACTGAGAAACTTGAAAAAACAGGGTGAGTCTAGATTGTCATGGAAAAAAAAAATCTATGCATATGTTCCCTAAGAATGAAAACCAACTTGATGGCACATAATCAATCAATTTAGCAGGACAGGGTGAATTCTATTTATTTAAGCCTTTCAGCAAAGGGTCCACTTATCAGATGCCTTAAGGAGACCCTTATGCCATAACAAAAACACACACACACACACAGAAACAAGGGCTTTGTTGCACTTGGCATAAAAACTACTAAGCCTCCTCAGTGTGGGGTTCTCTGTTTTCATTGCAATTACTTGCCTTTGACATTTCCTGAAACTTGTAAAATCACAAGATCAGCATGAAAAGCATCATGTGCTGCTCAGCTACTTATTGAAAGAAGTCCATTGAGGTAGAAAAGGATTAGAAGCAGAGAGAAAGAGAAAGGGTTGTGCCAAACCAAATAGTTGGCAAGGCCAGGATTAGAAAGCAGATTATCCCAAACAATTAGCACTGCTTGGTTTGGGAGTAGAGAAACAAGGGGAAAACAGGGGAATGAAAGGAAAATTCTACCCAGAAGGGCTCAAGACATCCGTAAATAAAAAAGGTAAAAGGCAGAGATCTTGGAAAATATATATCGGAGAGAAATTAGAGTGATAAAGTGCATAATGTATGTAATTTATACTTGGAGCAGGGCTATGTTTATCGGAGCAGGAATGTTAAAACTATTAGGTATTGTAAACTATTGTTGTGATTCATGGAAAGGTTTCTTGCGTGATATACTTGGAAATATAATTGGAGGATTGGACACAATGCAGTTGTGCTCATTTATGTTTGTGAAGAGGGAGAAGCAGGAGATAGGAGGACAGAAATATGTGGATTGAAATAGATTGATTATATAAATATAAGAATGGCTGGGTGGATCTACAGCTTCTGCTTTCTCCGGGAATGATGAAAACAATGTTTAAACTTAAAGGATGTCATGGTTCCTTTGGATTTGCAACAAGTGTGTATGCATCTTTTTCTTCAAACCCCATGCTGGGGCTTATAGTGCATTGAGGCAAGAATTATTTTAAATGATCTAAAGTAACAACACTTTTAGTTACTGTTGTTCTGAATGTTGATATTGATAACTGTGCACTCTGGAAGAATGTTGCATTCTGCTCTCCCAAAAAAAAATTGAAATCAAGGATTCCTTTTTATTGGTGAAATAGGAGTTTATGGTATTAAACACATGAATTTTTACATCCCTTTTTTCCCTCCTGTATTTCAGAGCCTGTTTTCCTACAAAGAAATTAAGAGAATATCCCAAATACCTAGAGACACAACCTTAGAGCTTTGCTTTGGTGGGATCTGAAAGTTACTATGCATCTTGCAATACTGTTATTCCTCCTGTTGGAAGCAATTAATGCTCAGTTTCCCCGAGAATGTACCACAGTGGATGCGCTGATCCAAGGCGAATGTTGCCCAGACCTGTCTCCCGGAGTGGTTCCTGGTTCAGATCCCTGTGGCTCATCTTCTGGAAGAGGGCAGTGTGTACAAGTGATAGCAGATTCCCGACCCCATGGACCTCAATATATGCACGATGGTCGAGATGACCGTGAGCAGTGGCCTCTTCGTTTCTTCAACCGAACTTGTCGGTGCAACCACAATTTCTATGGATACAACTGTGGCTCATGTCGACCTGGCAGGACTGGTCCCACCTGTGACCAGCAGATTACTATAGGTAAGCACAATAGCAAGAAAGAGATCACATTCTTCTTTCTGTTCTACTTTTCGGATCCCTGGTGCTTCTTTCTTAGCCCTTCCACTAATAATGCTGATGTTTGAAGAATGACTTCATGAGGTACCTGCCTGATCATCTCAAATGACAAATGTATTGGCATGTATCTTTACATCTCTTGCTCACCCAAGCCTAAGTCTCTAAATCTAAAAGAAAAGCAGACTTTAAAAAAGAAAGAAAGAAAACAAATAAACCATAAGTAGATAATTGGGAAATGCATGGATGTTCATGACTGGATTGGCAGTCTAGTGCTAACTTGTTTCACAGTGATGTAGTGGACCTTCCAACTTCACACTCCTTCACTGTTAAAAAAAGGTGATGATGATCAGAACAAGAAGATCTGAGGGAGGAGGAATATAAAAATCAGAAAATATATATTTAGTTTGAAAGCTTCTTGTAGTAAGGTCACTAGACGGTATAAACAGCAGCCCTATAGCAATATATTTCTGTTCAGGCCATTAGGGATGATTCTAAATGAGGTTTTCTATGTTTGATTTCAAGAAATGGCTGTTCATTTGTTTTTCTAATGCTATCTGGAATTTGAATACTTCCCAAGACCAAGCATTCAGCAAGATGAAAGAATGTTAGCGCAATATTTAGTAAAAAGAAGACAATAATGGACGAATTTGAGACAATCTCCTCAAAAAACAGTAAAATAATTTGTTTTCAACAGCATTTTGTATTCTTGTTGAACAATAAAAATGACCCCTCTGAAACCCAGTATATGATTTCATCCAATAAATAAATACTTTGTGTTGAATCAGAAAACCGAGGAAGAAGTGAGAATTCAGGGCTTTTTTTTTAAGAACCTTCAGAGGTTACATTTGGTATGTTGGGAAATGCAGCAGATTATCTGGATTTCTTTTGGTCAACATTCAGGCTCGTATATAGGACAGAATCCACTTTCATTCATCCTGGTGGATGATCTTTTATCAGGACCTGGATAAGAGAACTGCATCCCTCCTGATCCTTTTGGATCTCTCAGCAGCTTTCAAGACCGTTGACCATGGTATTTTTCTGCAGCATCTATGAGAGTTATGGATTGCAGACACAGCTTTACTATGCTTCCACTCCTTCCTAAGTGGACAGTACCAGTTGGTTATGGGGAAGAAAAGTCATCCAGGCAACTATAGTTTGATACTCTCTGTGACAGAATGTACACTTGCAGCAACAGAGTGGGAAGGATTTTGCCAGCTTTCTCCCAAAAAGGCTTGGATCAAGAGTCATAAGTTGGATGGGGGAGGAAGGAAGAGGTTCAGGCTATCCACACCCTAGAATCTGTCAGGATATATTTAGGATCAAGCAAATAAAGGGTTGGACTCAATTGGATCTCATTATCTCATCTCTTGGCTTGGACCTGACGTCAATGTGTTAGACATCTAATAGACCGAATCTTGTCAAACTAAAGCTATAAATTTCTAAGGTATTAAATATAACCTGAGAGATTCTAGGGTGGGGTTGCCCCGAACCTCTTCCCTCCTCCCCTATCTAGCTCAGGACTTGATCCAGTCTCTTTCTAGAGCCGCCAAAATCCTCCCGCTCTGCTGCTGCAGTGCACATTCCATCACACTCTTCTATCTGTTCTTTAATATAGATATGAAGATGTTTGGAGAAGTCATTCACCAGTTTGGGTTGAAGAACCATCAGTATGCCAGCTATACATTTCTGTTCCCAACCAATCCAGGAATGGGGTGGAAGTACTAATTGGCTGCAGCCCAATAGAAATTGGATGGGTAGAAACTTGAGTTTGAATCCCTGCAAAACAGGCTTATTGTTTGTCCAGAAGACATCTGACCTTTTTCCTGCCCCAGTAATAATAAAGTGGGGAGATACTGTCCCTAAAATAAGAAAGCCACGACTAGGGATCCTTCTAAACGCCTAACTTCGCAGCTAATGCTAGATAGACAGTGGAGGCTGTAGCTAAAGAAAGCTTTGTCTAGCTTCAGCCCTTCCTGAATGAGGTCCTGACAGGTCCTTTATCATGTTGACTGAAATGTGTTTTCCATGGGATTGGAAAGTTGCAGCTGGAGCAGTTTGGGAAACTCTTGCTGGCAGGTGACAGCTATCCAAGTCAAAAACAGTGTTTTTGGGGTGCCACTGTAGTTTCCAATAAGCTTCTGAGAATAATTTGCATGGTGTCTGGGTAAGCTATTGCCTCCTGCTATGTGCATTAGTTGTCCCAAATGCTGTGTTGAGAGATTTTTCCCATGTGCAAATCTGGGAAATAAGAGCATTATATTTTTTACTTTATGAGTTATCTCTGTGAAATAGTTTCCTATCGGAGTTTCAGATGAAGTCTTTCGATGGTGGTCTTCAGAAGTGTAGTCACAACTGATCTCCTCCACAGAAATTGTAATGAAATTACCAAGATGTTATTAAGATTTTAATAAATTTAAATGTAGCCATTGGACATGGAAACCAAGATTAGGTGGTGATTTTATAGAGAGAGCGACTGTGATGGAGATATATTGTTTTAACTGTTTTTATTAACTCTATGGAAGATCCCCAAAGAAATACATAAAGCAGCTACATCTTACCAATATAGAGTAAAAAAATTGTTTCTAGATTGCAATGTGCATGCAAGATTTGCAGTGGCGTTTTTTTAATGGCCTAGGTACCAGCCTCGTTTGTTTGTTTAAGTGAAGGTAAAATGTCAATTACTATAACTTTCCCTTACTAGAAACTTCATTCCAAATAGGCAGTGTGGGAGAGTTTCTAAAAATTGTAACTAGTGAATGACGATAATGAAGATGTGTTTTTCATCATGCAGTGGGGATGCATTTTCTGTTGCAATGCAGCGCTAAATCTTGGTGCATCCTCTACTTCCGGAAAAAGTCTGAATTTATCATGCATTCATTCCACCCAGTTAACCTTCAGTAAGATGGGTGGCCAATGAATCTGATAAATAAATAAATTCATCAAGGGGCAATTTACCTACATCCACATTTATTCAGGTTCAAGGGGCATATTAATTGATAAGCCAATTCAAGTTATGAAATGAAATGTAGAATCCAGAACCCTCTTATAATTGATGAGCTTCATTAAATACATTTTTTTTTAAATTCACGAGATGATGTTAACCTATGTATCTGAAGAATGGCTCATATATCTCCTTTTGCTTCATAAATGGTATACCAAATCAAAAGCAACTGCATTAATAAAATGACCTATATGCACAAGGTATTTCCTCTGTTTGCAGTGAGGGGGTGAGGAGGTAATATATTGATTTAAAACTTTTTATTATACCATAGAAAATCTGAAAGTTTTCATCAAAAGGGTATTCCAATTCTCAGCTGCCAAAATAGTCACATTATTTATAGAAGTAAAAAGGTAAAAGGTAAAAAACCTGTGGATTTTACCCCCTAGTCATTGCCGACTATGAGGGGCAGCGTTCATCTCCGTTTCAAGGCCATTGAGCCAGCGCTGTCAAAAACATTTCCATAGTCATGAGGCCAGCATGGCGTCACAGAGCGCTGTTACCTTCCCACCGAAGTGGTACTTATTTATCTACTTGCATTTGCATGCTTTCGAACTATAGAAGCTATAGAAGCCTTCCTTAGAATCTTTGGCTTTATAATTTACAAACTAAATTGAATTAAATTATATAATAGCCTATACTTCTGTGTAGTCCCAATTCTGGTTTTATATTTTATTTCAAAATATTTAAGTATTTTTATCCATCTTCTCTAGGTACAACACCTTGTTGAAACTTAATTTGATTTGAGATCTTTTTTTAACCAGGTTATTGATAAGCATGTATTTTCAGTCTTCTATTCATGTTATCACTGTTCCTTTAATATGGCTTTAATTCTATTTCCTTGATCTCCAGTTAGACAAAATCTTCTGGACTTTAGTAGTGAAGAAAGGAGAGAATTTCTAAGAGTCTTACAGCAAGCCAAAACAACAACACACCCTGACTTTATGATCGCAACTAGGAGACATGAGGAGATCTTGGGTCCTGATGGCAATATTCCACAATTTGAAAATGTGTCCATTTATAACTATTTTGTGTGGTCTCATTATTACTCGGTCAGAAAAACTTATCTTGGGCCTGGACAACGAAGTTTTGATGGAGTAGATTTCTCCCATGAAGGACCAGCATTTCTCACCTGGCACAGATATCACCTGCTACAATTGGAAAGAGATATTCAGGTAAATTATTTTTATTTATATTGCCTAGTATCAGATCAAAGAACAGGCAAGCCCCGCCTCATTTTCAGTTAAGAGTGATGATGTTCCCTTGCCTAAAAGAAGCTACTGGAAAAGCTACTGTAGATCTGGGGTGTTCAACCTTGGCAGCTTTAAGACTTGCGGACTTCACCCAGAATTCATGGCTGGCTGAGAAATTCTGGGAGTTGAAGTCCAAAAGTCTTAAAGTTGCCAAGGATGGACACCCCGGCTATAAATAATTAATATTGGGTGGTTTAGGCAACCTGCTGTTTGACAATTGTTTAAATATAAAATCATTCAAAACTCCCATAACCATATACATATACTGAAAAAGTCAGATTAGTTAGTTTTAGTTCAAAACATTTGAAAAGCACCAGGGACCTATCCAGGCTGCAGATACCCTGAGTATACAAGACCACTCCCGATGGATGGAAATAGGATATTTTTTTTCACACAAATGTCTCTTATTAGAATGAGAAGTATCATATTCAGAGCCATATATTCAAAGTTCCAACTTCATTATGGTGGTCTGCTAGAGAAGGAACTGCCAAGAATGATTTGCATTTCCCTGTGAATTGTGTGGTTCTGTCTGCAACACAGCATGGCTCATCCTGAATCCCATATTCTATCCACCAGGATATGCTGCAGGATCCTTCTTTTGCCCTTCCTTATTGGAACTTTGCCACAGGTAGGAACAGCTGTGACATCTGTACAGATGATCTCATGGGATCCAGAAGCAGCTTTGATGACTCTCTTCTCAGCCCCAACTCAATCTTCTCCCAGTGGCGCATCTTGTGTGAGGCTATTGAAGACTACGATGTATTGGGAACCATTTGCAACAGTAAGCCTAGATTTGTAGTGCTATTTAGCTGTTATCACAGTTTCCTTAAGACTAATAAAGATATCAGATATGGAACCTAGCAAGCTTAATTGTATCTTTACCTCAAATTGCACGCATACACCCAAAACGTTACATATTTCATTCAGAGGACATGAACACTTTTTATCATTGATCAAGATCACTGTCATGTGAAACACTTCCAGTTTTGGATGTTGAGGAACATTCTGCTTTCTTCCAAATATATGCCTAGTCTAATGAAGGGAAGAACTAGGAGTGACATGATAGCAGTGTTCCAATATTTGAGGGGCTGTCACAGAGAGGAGGGACTCAACTATTCTCCAAAGCACCCAAAGAAGTAACAGGTGAAAATATATCAAAGAGAGATTCAATCTAGAACTAAGGAGAAAATTCCTGAAAATGAGAACAATTAATCAGTGGAACTGCTTGCCTCCAGAAGTTGTGGGTGCTCCATCATGAGAGTTTTTTTTAAATATGAGATTAGATAGCCATTTATCCAGAATGATATAGGATCTCCTGTTTAAGCAGGTGATTGGACTAGATAGAAGATCTCCAAGGTACCTTCCAACTCTGTTGTTCTGTATTCTCTAAATTTCTCCTTAAGCTGCAAACAATGAGATGTTTGGCAAGCTGCATTCCATTACCCTGGTTAAGCTACTTTTGGCCTTGCTTTTCTTGTATAAGGATCTAAAGATAAATAGAATCAGGTCATGCAACCCATCACCCAGCAAGGAGAAAAAAGTTTCTTTGATCTGTACAGAAACATAGACTACATGCCCCCTAAGGTCTGGCTTCTCTTAAAGTATATTTAATCTAACAATTTTTGTCACTTTATTTATGTGGCTGCTTCAATGTTTAGAACAGAGGAAGTCCTTAGTCAGTGACTCCATTTTTAATATTTTTCCTCAACAACCAAGACCTGTAGAAGGTGAAGTAATTATATCATTATATTACAAGTTATATATTTCTGATTATATATTTATGACTTTTGCTTGGTTGGGGGTTTTTTGGGGTGGTGGTAACCTTTTATTTTGTTTGTCTCAATTTGCAAGAAATCTCACTTCTAATTTTTATCTATTTATTTTGGTGATTTGCTCTTGAGTTCTTGAACAAACTCAGGGGATTCCAAGATCCTGAAAAAAGAGCTTATGGGTTGCAGGCAGATCCATATTGCATAGCCCTAGTTTCAATTAAAAAAAAGTAGACATCTAACAGCTCAGCAATTCTCATCCCATTTTGTAAAGCCTTCCTTTCCTAACAGAATAAGCATATGGCAAATATTATTTAAAGTATTTTGTATTGAGTATTCTGTAAAACAATATTATAATGTCAGATAACATTATTTTTGCCATATTGAGAAGATGAGAGAAAGTAGTGGCTTGCAAAGCCAGTCTATGGGTATCTTAACAGATGTTAATCATTCTTATTTCCAGGAAGACTGTCTCAGTAAATTTGAATAGTTATGTATGCATGTATGTATGCATATATGTATGTGTGTATATGATTGTCGCTCAAGGCAGAATGTCTAGCTTTTTTCTGGGACACATTGGTTTGAGATCCACATTGGAGGTCCCAGTTCAAAAACATGGTTCTTCCCTGTGTTAATTTTTTCCCTACTATTTCATTAAAAGTTACAATTTTGCAACAACATTTTGCAGAGGCTATATGTGTTGTGTACAAGAGGTTGAGGGAGACAAATGGGTCTCTAGCACAATGTTTCTCAACCTTGGCAACTTTAAGATGGGTGGACTTTAACTCCCAGAATTCAGTTGAAGTCCATCCTCCTTAAAATTGCCAAGGCTGAGAAACATTGCCCTAGTGCAGGGGTCTTCAAACTTGGCCTTTTTATGACTTGTGGACTTCAACTCCCAGAATTCCTCAGCCAGCCACTCTGGCTGAGGAATTCTGGGAGTTGAAGTCCACAAGTCATAAAAGGGCCAAGTTTGAAGACCCCTGACCTAGTGTCTCAGCATTACATCTGTAATCTAAGCCATTGATTTAATTAATGGCAGAGGCAAAAATTAAATAAGAATCTTTCTGACTCAATGTCTTAAAAGTAGGTCTTAATATCACAATGATCTATTACCCTTTATATAAGCCGAAATGATATTGCTGTCACCCTCCTTCTACTACCATACAAGAGCCCCAAAGTAGCAGAGAAAGAGATCTATTCAGACTAATGTTTTGTGTTTAAGTGATTCAATTTACCCTCTTCAAACTTACATAAACACCAATATACCTTGTATATATCAATAGCTGCACATTTGGAATTTTCTAGTTTAATTCACAGCTCAAAATATCTACACCAAAAATATACATATTGGGAAACAATGTATATGCAAATTAATACCATTTATTTCATTTTATTTTTATCCAGCCTGCTTTGGGGAAAACGAACGCATAAATAGAGTAAAATAAAGTTCCAGTTAGGGAGAAAACATAACAATTGAGCACAAGCAGATCATGTATAAATCACCTATATATTTTCGGTATTTAGCATATGATAAGTTACCTTTGGAAAAATAAAAGGAATTCAGCAGGTTAGGTAGTGACATGCAACATTAACTGTGAATAGTTCTTAGCTAAAAAGGAAGAATATGGGATTTTTTCCCCCTAAAATGCCTTCCCTGCATTATTTCTTAGATTATGAGATTAACCTGATAATCCATTAAATCTTATTCCCCCTGCCTCATGCCCATGTTTTGTTTTTGGTTTTTTTCAAATGTCAGGCACAGAAGGTGGTCCAATTAGACGCAATCCAGCTGGAAATGTAGCCCGTCCCATGGTGCAGCGCCTTCCAGAGCCTCAGGATGTTGCTCTTTGCTTAGAAGTCGGATTCTTTGACACACCTCCGTTCTACTCCAATTCAGCAGACAGTTTCCGTAACAGCGTAGAAGGCAAGTCACTCCAAAGGAAACAAATAAACAAACTCTTGAAGCCAAAGGTGAAATCCACCACACTCCTAACCCACACTGAAGTGGGTAAAAACTGTTCAAATCCTTTTGTGGGAAAAGAAATGGTTTAGGACAGGGATAGGCAACCTTGGCTTTTTTATGACTCGTGGACTTCAACTCCCAGAATTCCTGAGCCAGCCATGCTGGCTCGGGAATACTGAAAGTTGAAGTCCACGAATCATAAAAGAGCCAAGGTTGCCTACCCCTGGTTTAGGAAATCCTCCCCAAGTTTCATTATCTGATTTTCCAAGTCTGGAAACAAATAGGATGAGGGGAACTCTTTTATTGAATTCAGTGGGTTTTCTCAAAATCAGTAACCCTGCCAGTTATTGGCGAAATTAAAGCAAATGTTGGTCTTATCAACATCAGCAGTAATACTATTTGAAGCTAAGACTTACAGTACTTTGTCCAGAGAATGATTTTTTTATTATTATTAAACACTTCAAAGCATAGCATATTCTTGATTTTATTAAAAGCAGTGATATTCTCAAAATGTCCATCTCTCTGCATATTATATTATACCTATACATGTTAGGCAGCACATAGGCAGAGGAATATAGGTCATAGCAAATGTCTTACCCATCATTAGATCATGATTTATCAAGCCTCAGGGTAGCCCATCCCTGAGAGATCCAGGGTCAAATGGAAACTCCCAACTTTCTGGTGGGCCCAGGAAACCATTTTGAGATGTCTCTGGAAAATGAAAGGCTAAAATTGGAGGATGGGGTGGGATTAAAGGTGGAAATGAGATACGGAGACCTTTGAGATACAAGCTGCTAGAATTCCTATCCTTTAAGTTACACACACACATGTGCACACACACACTCCATTTCAGAAAATAGGCCCAAAATAGTCCTCAGGGTTACTTTGATGTGAGAATAGGAACATGAAGTTTTAGGGAGATAAACTACTACTGTTGCTATCCTTCAAACCCTGTTAAGACTTGAAAACCCCTTTGAAATGCTGCTGCTGAAATTCTGCTATTTTGCCACCAGGTTTTGGTAATATAATCTTAGTTTTATAGCAGGCATCATTTTTTATTGTGCAAAGTGGACTTTACTAATGTACAAAAAGCATTCTAAATAAAATTAGCATGACCTTTCCCAATTCATTAAATTAAGTGGCTCCGCCGATCAACTTTGATTTAATTAAATATATTGACCGAATACAGTTAAATATAATATGGGCCCAACTGGACAAATTATTTACACAGGCCCAGTTTAGGTGGTATAGCTATCCTTATATTAAGATATGGAGGCAAGTCAGAAAAGAACCACCGACAGCAAACAATTCAGAAACCCAATTCAGCAGAAGAAATACAGGTAGTCCTCATTTACTGACTGCCTCATTTAACAACACTGACTTTTTGTCTCAGAGGAAAATTATCATGGTTAATCTAAATCATCATAACAGACATGTCCACAGGTATTTTTACTTGTATCACATTTGGAGATACAATATTACAGCTTAATATCTGACATGATCAAATGGCTCAATACATTTCACCTACAAGACTGAACGGTGAAAATATATAATCCCGTACCCTATTTCAATTGATGAGAATGTCATCTTGTCCTCAACCTTAAAAAAAAAATAAGTATATCTGGGAAATAATTGGTTGTATCATCTTTCCTTATGTTATTGCATATTTAGAATAATATATTTTGGTACAACCAAGTTGGCTTCTGCAGTTAAGGTGTACCAACACCTGATAGGAGAGTGTGAACTCCCAATTATTAGTTAAGTATGCAGGTTCTGGCATTTTGCTTAATTGCTTTGTATTTACTAGCATTGAACAACATGGATATTTTATGCAAGCAAAATTAACAGAGTTTTTTTCTTTTCTTTTCTTTTTTCTTTTTTGCCGAGACATGGCAAACATCAGAACATCAATAGCAAATGGAGGAGAGGTGGAAAAGAAAAGGGCTGAGAAAAATTAACACAAAGTTATTTATGTGGATTTAAATTTGGCCACAGGCACTTCAGTTGAGTTGAGCATTTTTTATATATATGTATCTGGTACTGACTATTTTTTGGTCTCCTATAAAAACTCTTGAGCTCCTGATGAGAGTGAGCAGGGGAATATTTCTCTCTCTTTCTCTCTTTTACTCGCTCAGATTTTGATGAAGGCTAAAAACATAGTCAGCACCAGATACATATTTAAAGACAGAGTTTTAAGAATGAGAAATATCCCAGAACCTAGACAGGGCTGTTCCACAAGTGTGTTAAAAAAAAAAAGCATAGTAATATTGCAAGAATGAATTTGCAAGGAATTAATATACAGGATGCTAAATACACTATACTAAATACTTAATTTTATTCACTCCAGCCACCTAACTTCATCCTATCATTAGGCTGAATAACAATCGAGATTCATACATCCCAAGAATCTAGAATGTTGGAACAGTTGGGTTTTTCAGAAGCCCAAAGTCACTTCACACATGGAGAACTGAAAAAAATATCTTCTTCCCTGGAGAGCAGAGGAGCACCCACATTTATTAAATGCATACAGAGATTTCAAGTATATTATTGCCAATTTGATACAAAGTAATTGTTTTATTCAAGGATGGAAAGCACATTCTCCCTCTTCCCTCCCTCTTCACTTTCCGTGTCTTCCACCTCATTTAGTGCAACAAACATCTGAGCCCAGCATATTGTAATATGTTGCTAAAAATCACTGATCTCAAGTTTATCTGTTCTTGGGAAACAAGAAGTTATGTCAGGGCTATGGGATGATCCGTTTTATATACATACATATAGCAATGCAATTTCTGCGGAGAAAATCAAGACAGTTTTCTGATGTTATGTTAGGCAGGATTGTGCTTAGCTAGGACAGGCAAGAGTTCCAGAATTGCTTCTCAATTGTTCCTCTTCTTTATTTCTATGTCCAGGCTACAGCAATCCTTCGGGAAAGTATGATCCAGCAGTGCGAAGCCTTCACAATCTGGCTCATCTCTTTTTGAATGGAACTGGAGGGCAAACTCATTTATCCCCAAATGACCCCATTTTTGTCCTCCTCCACACGTTTACAGATGCTGTTTTTGATGAATGGCTGAGAAGGCATAATCCTGGTGAGATGTCTGGATTTATGATATTCCTCTGTATAAAATCCGAGGTACAATCCATACCCAATACAAATGCTTGAGATAAATTAAAGAAGATGCTAAGATCCCATCGCAGCAAGGCAACCAAATGCAATATCATCCTTTCTCTCTTCTTACTAGAAGCAGAATAAAATCTAGTCCCCAAAAGGAATTACTATATATACTGTTGATAAAGGATAAACCATACCAGAAGAGCTTATGGTCTTCTGGTATGGTTTATCCTTTATCAACAGTATATACAGTAATTTCCTTGCATCAGCAGATCCAAGAAACAGAAATACTAACCTTTTTTTTAATCTCCTAACTTCACGAATGTGTATCTGTTTTTCCATCTCCCAAAAGAAAAGCAAAACAATACACACTCTGTTGTAGTGTATACATTTGAAGGTAATCTTTAAAAAAAAATCTTATGGCAACACTCTCTGTGTGTTTTAATAGCAAGTCAAATGGCATTTCTTAAGATTCATATGACTGTTCATTGCTGCAGGAGAATTCCTTAAGTTCATGCCATGCTTTGCTGAGCAAAAACAGCCAAAAGGAAGTGGCACGGTAGAAGTTAAATGGTTCTTTGTGAGTCTTGCAGAATAAAAAAATGATAATAAAAAGAAAATTGTAGAGACTGTACCATGAGAGCAACAGCTTTCAAATGCACTGAAAGATAGGAAGGCATGATAAGTCTCACAAGATTATGTCAGCAGAAAATTAATACAGTAGTTGACTAAGAACTTGCTCAGTTTATTCATTGCATCCATGATCAGCGTCCAAGCTTGAATATTCAGATGAATAAATTTTCAGCTTCCATGAAGCAAAAGTGACACTTTGTGAATATCACAAATATTCACAAGCCGTTGTAGCGCAAGTGGTTAGAATGCAGTATTGCAGGCTACTTCTGCTGCCTGCCGGCTGCCTGCAGTTTGCCAGTTTGATCCTGACGGGGCTCAAGGTTGACTCAACCTTCCATCCTTCTGAGGTCAGTAAAATGAGGACCCAGATTGTTGGGGGCAATAAGCTGACTCTGTAAACTGCTTAGAAAGGGCTGTGAAAAGCACTGTGAAGCAGTATATGAGTGCTATTGCTAGTCATGAGTGGGGAAAATTCCTTAAAACAAGAATAACAACCTGGATTTCAACTCCCATCAGTCTCAGTCTTCATGGTCATTGTCAAGGAGTTGTGGAATTGTTACTCAAAGCATCTGGAGTACATCCGATAGACCATCCTTATTTTAGAATGGGTTCTAGAATACTTTTCAATACAAAAATTCTATGGAAGGTTCACAGGGATACTCCAAAGTATAAGTTCAGATTTTCAGATGCTTTAAGGCACCTGAATGGTTTAGAAATACACACACACACACACACACACACACACACACACACAATTGCAAATCTTTGATTCACTCAACGAACAACATTATTATAGAATACTGATTGGTCCTATCTGTGAATCTATTCTAAGCTTTGCGAGGTTTGGCAGTTAGGTGAACATTATGTTTGGTCCCATAGTCAGCTTTTTAAAACTGGACTGGGCATTTTTGTCGATTTATCAAGTCCTTCCCAAAGGCCTGAGATAGGCAGATACTGCTGTTTAATCTAACATTTAGTATTGTTTTATCTGCCACGAATAATGTCAAACCTGAAAACCTATTTAAATATTTAATTCCAAGTTCTCAAATTTTAATAATTACTTCCTTTTCTTTAGATAACTCAACATACCCACTAGAAAATGCCCCCATTGGACACAACAGACAGTACAATATGGTACCATTTTGGCCTCCTGTAACCAACGATGAGATGTTTGTTACAGCACCAGAAAACCTGGGCTACAGTTATGAAGTTCAGTGGCCATGTAAGTTATGTAATCTTTTCTTTTCATCATGCAGCACATTTTTTTTTCACTTAGATCAAAAGAAAATGTACTATTTGCAGATATATCATGTGCAAAATAACCATAATGGGTTGTATTGATTTTTGCAGCTGCTTTGACTTGTTTGAACCATTAAATACTAATCAGGCTAAGCATCAAATACATGGTTTTTAAAATTGGAATATCTTGGTTGATCTGTTTAAGAAAAAATATTTGATAAATGGTGAATGCTCCTTTTTAGAATCAGCAAAATACAGCAAATAAATCTACAAGACAAATCAATTAAAAATTGCAATGTCTTGATATGACAAACAGCCCGATTTTTAATGACGAAGAACAAATTTTCTGAGTTGACTACATGATATTTTCTAGTAATGTTACCAAAAGCTTTTGTTTCATTTCATGCGTTTATATTTCAGAGTAAACAGCTCAAGGTTTGAACTGAATTCAGACTCTTATAGGATGCATTCCATCAATTCAGTATTTCAATTGGCTAAAAAAAAGAAAGAATGGTTTTGGGAACTGGGCAGCTTAGAAATGCTTAGAAACAAACAACACATAAAGCCTATAATTTTAGATCTATGGCAATTTAAGGGGACATTTTTTAAAAATAGCTGTTTCTAGAGGGATAGGGCTGCAGTCAATAAGATTCTGAAATTATTGGAATAAGGTTAATTTCCACATTGTCTAAAAATAAATTCCCAAATGGGTTAACCAGCATACAAAACTGAGACTCTCTTTATGTTTTTCCCCATTTCTTTCAGCTCCAGCTCTCCGTGTGACTGAAATCATAACGATTGCAATAGTTGCTGCTTTGATCCTGGTTGCAATTATATTTGCGGCTGCCTCTTGTATTGTATATTCCAAGAGACAGGAGGAACATCAGCCACTTCTCACAGATCATCATCTGACCTATTCAGATGATTATGACAGCATTCCAACCCCGAGGCAATCAAATGTGTGAAGATAAGTGACTTATCTGCATTTGATGGCATCTATTGTGTCTGATGCAAGCTTTCAAGAAAGCACATTTCAGAGTGAGAAAAATCTTCCTTTATCTAATATTTATATCTCAAATCCATATTCTTTCTTAGACCGGTTCAACGTTTCTACTGATTTCACCCACTTCAATCCTGTTCTATCTACAGTATGTTCACATTATAAAAGACTAACAATGAATATTTTACAGAAGTTAAAGTAGTTATTAAGTATGTATTAACTGCTTTTATGTGGAAGATGGTGCAAAAATTAAGTTTATGCTGATCTTGTTCTGAGAACCAGTTTGATGTAGTGGTGAAAGCATCTGGCTAGAAAGCATCTGAGTTCTAATCCCAATTTAGGTATTAAGTTAGCTGGCTGACCTTCGTCAGTCACTGTCTCTTAGCCCTAGGAAGAAGGCAATGGCAAACCACTTCTGAAAACCTTGCCAAGAAAACTTCAGAGAAGCAGTCTCTGAATTGGACATGATTGAACAGAAGGAAAAAAAAAACTTGTGATAAGATATCACAAAATGCTACTAGCACCAAGGAAAAAGCTGTCCTGTTTTTTAGGATTCAGTCACCAGCTAGTCTGTCTCTGTACACCTCAATAGCAAGCTAATTCTAGTATCTCAGCAGCCTATAACTATGTGTTTTTCTGAAACTAAGTTTATATTGAGGTATGCCCAAATAAGGCTCTAAGCATTTTTGGGAAAAATTCCCTCAAAGAGATATTAATATTGTAACTCCTGAATCCCAAAGATCCATCCATATCCATCCATCCATCCAGGTTAGGCATTTGTCCAATCCACTGATGATATCAAAGAAGATCCTCTCAACCTCCTCAGGCTGAACAAGATCCCTCTGTAAGAGGTTACCTCACTCATCATGCTAGATCATGCCCAACTGACATTCAATCCAACCAAACACAAATGACTAAATCTGAAAAGGAACTGGAAAACATTATCTTTGCAGTCTGCTAGAGCAGAGGTCCTCAACCCCTTGGGCCACAGCTCACTATCGGGCTGCAGACTGTTCGAAACTGGGCTATACAAATGGAGCTTTGCACATGAGCACTCTCTGTTCGTGCAAGTAGAGCTTTACATACGAGCACAAGCGCTCTCTGTTCAAGCGACCTCCACTCGTACAACTGGAGCTTTGCATGTGAGAATAAGTGCCAGCCGCTCATACCAGTGGAGCTGTGTGTGCATGCATGTGTGTGCATGCCACACACATACACACACACACACACACACACACACACAGGCTTGGCCGGGCACCAAGCTGGAAAGGTTGGTGTGCTAAAGTATATCTTGCCTTTCCTTCCGTAACAGATCTAAGTAATTCTGAGCAGGTTCATTGGACAAAGATCTACAGATGCAATAAGAATGCAGAACTATTCATACTTTGCCATTCTCATCTTGACAGTGGAGGCCCAAATCTGGATTCATTCATATTCACTCCAGGATTCCTTTGCCAATATTGTTCCAGGCAAATATATAGTGGCTTTATTTTCCAAATTGCCTCAGTAAATCAAAGGCATCCCCCTTCCCCAAGGATAAGCAACTGTAGAGAGCACATGGGAGCAATCTTGTCCAATGCCCTAATCATTTCTATACAGGTCCTAACTGTGGTGATAAGCTGAAGACTCCCTATATTCCAAAGATATATAATGAAACTGTCTATAAAATCACTGGAAAAATCCCCAAATGCACTCAGAAAGCCCCCAGGGTCCATCTGGTTTTGTACCATCTGAACTAGTCTCCCATCTTCCCAGACATAAAGAGTACCAGCAGTCTAGAACTTGATGACAAAATAAGTTCACTGCAGCACAAAATTGATATAAAAATATCATCCATCCTCAGATCCTCTACTGTGATCTAACACACACCTCCTTGCGTGAACTGGGATTAAGATCAGTTGGGATAAACCCATAGTTGCAAAAGAGCCCCAAATTCCCAAATCCCTCTGAGTATAGCAGTCCCAGAACAAGGAATATGACAAGATGTTTTGCGGGGGGGGGGGGGCGTTGATGTTTTTTATTCAGATAATCTGTGCCTTTTCAGAGGAAAAAAAAATCATTAAATCAAGCACATTCGTAAACTGTAATATGAGCCATTACGTTGGCTGTTGAGAAAAAAAGAGAACACCCATAGCTTTTGTATGTGTGTTACTTGTTCCTTTGCTTCCATTTCACTTTTCCTTTAGAACCTCAGGGCTGTATATACTGTATTTCCTCTTCCCTTTTCCCCCCATAACAACAACTCTTTGAAATACTTGAGCTGAGAGAGAGAGAGAGAGAGAGAGAGAGAGAGAGAGAGAGAGAGAGAGAGAGAGAGAGACTGGCCCAAAATCCTCCGAGGTTTTCAATGGCTAGAGTGGATTACAACCTCGGTCTCCCCAGATTTGTCAACAGACATGTCAAACTTGCGACGTCACGTGACGTCACATGACGTATCGGGATTGTTTTGCCATTGCCGGCAATGGGGTGGGCGCGGCTTCCGTGTGACGCATCCAGCCCGTGGGCCGACAGTTTGACACCCCTAGTTCAAGCTCATTTAATTTTGTTCTGATATCAGTACATCAGAGATCAAAGGTTTCTTATTAACTCTACAACATTTGATCTGCCCAGACAAGAGCAATTTGAGTGGGTTAGCAGCACAGAAAAGCATGTGCTCATTAATTCTGGTGGACAGAATTCTTGGCTTTCCTTAGTTATGTTGGCTGAACCGTAGCGCTGAATTGTCGTGTTGAATTTATGCACAGCTGATATAATTTTCCAGTTTTGAGGGGAAGGGGGTTGTCCCCTTTTCCTGGGTATGGATTTAATTATATTATTGTGATTATATTCCACAACTAGTCTACGTTGAAGTGAATAAGTTCTGCTAGGTTCAGTTTAGTTAGGATTAGCATGGATCAGCACAGGGCAGAACAATAAGAAAATAATTTCTTGGATTAAAATTGAACTTAAAGATGGTAATATTTGCATTGTTCTTAAATAAATGGTGTGAGATGCTAAAGTTCATACATGATCCAAAGGGATTGTGAAATTCAATGATATTTATAATTCAAAGAAAACGGGGTTTGCATTGTGTATGTGCTGTCAAAATGTTACATTTCTGATGATTAAATAAAGGACACAGATGGAGAAAATAGATCATAGAGAAATATATCAGAAAGTATAAATATTTATATGAGGAAGAGCACTGACTGTGACATTGACCGAGAAGCATTATAGTTGATATTTGGGGATCTCATTAGCAGTGATATTTCTTAGAAGCATACACTAATTGCTTTAAACACAAGTCACATACTTTCTCTTTTGCCATCGTGAAGCTACCTGACTACAAGTGAGCAAATAGGATCTACAGAGTTGATTTAGCCCCAGGATTACAAGCTGCGAAGCCCAAGAATGAACAATTGTTTATCAGTTGTTTAAGTGCTCCAGATTTCCTACAAGGAACAGGTTAGCTGGCAATAAAAGTAGGAGCTTTTTTATTTTTTTAATAAAAGAAAAATCTTCATCAGGGTCCAGTCCAAGCCGGGAATAAACAACATGGCAATTGCTTTAGAAAGAAGGTTGTAAAATCTTCATCAAATAGCTGCAGAAATAAGAGGTTGGCAGATATAGCTAGATATAGCAACATCATTTTTGGAATGGAATAGGATTGTCTTAGGGACAACCTCTCCCAATTACATCTGTCTGTCCCACCAGATCCAACAGAGAGACAATGCTTCTGGTTCCAATAGTTAGGGAGCTACATTTGTTGGGCTGTAAGCAATGAGCCTTTTCCGCTGTGACCCCGTATTATGGAATATCCTCCCCCGCCTGAAGTGAGTCACTTTTGACTTTCCAAAAAATTCTCAAGACCTGCTTGTGCCATCAGGCCTGGGAACCCCAGGGCACTAGTGAATTATTGAGGTGGCTCTGTTATTATTTACATCTCTTCAACCAATTTTTTTCTTTTTAGCTTGTTTTTATATGTTTACAACAATAATAACAACAATAATGGTTTGATAATTAGTAACTAATTTTTTTAGCCTGGTTGTACACCATCCAAAGTCACTTGCTTTGTAAAATGGATGGCTATATAAATTGGACAATAAATTTGACAATAAATAAATTGCACCCTTATTCCCATTTTTCATTTCCATGTGTTACTCAAAGACATTTTCTCAATACTTCCTAACATGTACATATAACAATATTGGAACATTTGGAAAAGTTAGGAATAAAGCCCCAGACTAAATATTTTGGATTATAACTTCTTACAATCATGCTAACTGCTGTGGTTAGGCAGTAGTTTAATCAAACATAATTGTCATGAACCAATTCCAGAAGAGACTGGAATAAATTATTTTCATTCTCTAAGAAAATTCACCTTAAAATATGTATGTTTCATTATTGTTCATGTAGGTTTCATGTATTGCCAAGTGTTTCTTTTAATTCCTTGTTTGGAGAAATGCCAATCCACATCCAACTTTGCCAAGTTAAATCAATTTCTCTGGTCCAAAATCCTTTCAACTTGCATAAGTTATAGCTTGTATCAGTTTGGCATACAGAGTAGAAACATTTTAGATATTTCAATGCGTTTGTAACTGTTCCTATTATTTGCTGTCACATTGGCTTCTAAGCTTCCACTGGCACATCAAAAATATGAAGAATCCCATTTGGGCAAGCACAGAGGGAGAAAAAAAGGAAGAAATGGACACCTGCTAGAATTTACACTTTGAATAATGAGATAGATCTCAAAAGAGTTACAGGATCTTGTCAATTCAAAAAGAGTCATAGAAATTGGAATGAGCCCAACAGATTCTCTTGTTCTGCATTAACTGTGGTTATTGTTTGGTCTCACTTGCATAGCACTCCATAAATTCTAAATTTGAGCTGCTATTAGTTGTAATTTCTAAGTGGGCCAGTTATATATTTTAGTGCTGTGTCTAAGGAAACAATCATTTTATAGCTTAAGGACATACCACTCCTGTA